GGGTGGGGTTCGCGTGTCGAGGCGGATGACAGTGGTCGCGGTGCGGGTGGCGACGGCGGTGGCGGCGCTCCGAAACTACCCTCTTGCGATTGCCTTGTGGCGCCACCTCGGTGGTGGTTGTAGTCGCCGCCTCCTCTAACCCTTGTGTGCGTACGGCCATGACGATGCCTCGCACAACCTATTGATTTGCAACCTCCCCTCCGCGCCCCCATTGTTGCATGCAATTGCATTTCCTTCTTCCGTGGAGGAATAGGACATGCGCCGCCGCGATCCTTCAAGGATTTCTGGCCGATACGCGAAGATCGAGTGCGGAATTATTGCGATAAGCTTTGCCCTTATTGAATCGTGCAAGAAATTCTCGGACCTTTTCTTTTATATATATAATGGACCCTCGATAACTCCTACTGAACTACCGGGGGAGTAAATGAGTGAGTCACTTGAATAGCAATGAAAGTGACGACGTTTCCTTCTTCTCCGCAGAATAATAGTTACGAGCAGAAGAAATAAACGCTCATTTCATATACCTTTCTTACTACGCTATTATGTTGAGAAGAGTACCTTTTATAAACTAGAAGCACTTCGTACGCGTCTACAAATGCCATAGAAAGATCAAATACTTGCGTAACAATCTATGGTAGTCATGGAAACCGATGACATAGAAACTGTAGTTTACATTCATTTCCAAAGGTTTAAATCCAAACCCAAATATTTTCTGTTTTTTTTTTTATATTTTCAAATATTAGAGAATTTAACAGTTGTTGATTAACAAATGTTAAAGTGAGATTTTTGTATTGAGTTTATTTTTACAAGCATTTTGTACGCGTCTGCGAGTGCCATAGAAACATCAAATTCTTGCGAAACAATCTATGGTAGTCATGGAAACCGATGACATAGAAACTATAGTTTACATTCATTACCAAAGGTTTAAATTCAAACCCAAATGTTTTCTGTTTTTTTTTTATATTTTCAAATATTAGAGAATTTAACAATTGTTGATTAACAAATATAAAACTGAGATTTTTATATTCAGTTTATTTTTACAGGCACTTCGTACGCGTCTACGAATACCTTAGAAAGATCATATACTTGCGAAACAATCTATGGTAGTCATGGAAACCGATGACATAGAAACTGTAGTTTACATTCATTTCCAAAGGTTTAAATTCAAACCCAAATATTTTCTGTTTTTTTTATATTTTCATATATTAGAGAATATAAAAATTGTTAATTAACAAATGTTAAACTGAGATTTTTGTATTGACTTTATTTTTGCAAGCACTTTATACGCGTCTGCGAGTGCCATAGAAACCTCAAATACTTGCGAAACAATCTATGGTAGTCATGGAAACCGATGACATATAAACTATAGTTTACATTCATTATCAAAGGTTTAAATTCAAACCCAAATATTTTCAGTTTTTTTTTTATATTTTCAAATATTAGAGAATATAACAATTGTTGATTAAGAAATATAAAACTGAGATTTTTATATTGAGTTTATTTTTACTAGCACTTTGTACGCGTCTGCGAGTGCCATAGAAAGATCAAATACTTGCGTAACAATCTATGGTAGTCATGGAAACCGATGACATATAAACTATAGTTTACATTCATTACCAAAGGTTTAAATTCAAACCCAAATATTTTCAGTTTTTTTTTTATATTTTCAAATATTAGAGAATATAACAATTGTTGATTAACAAATGTTAAAATGAGATTTTTATATTGAGTTTATTTTTGCAAGCACTTTGTACGCGTCTGCGAGTGCCATGGAAACATCAAATACTTGCGAAACAATCTATGGTAGTCATGAAAACCGATGACATATAAACTATAGTTTACATTCATTACCAAAGGTTTAAATTCAAACCCAAATGTTTTCTGTTTTTATTTGATATTTCCAAATATTAGAGAATATAAAAATTGTTGATTAACAAATATAAAACTGATTTTTATATTGAGTTTATTTTTGCAAGCACTTTGTACGCGTCTGCGAGTGCCATGGAAACATCAAATACTTGCAAAACAATCTATGGTAGTCATATATAAGCTATAGTTTACCTTAATTACCAAAGGTTTCAATTTAAACCCAAATATTTTCGTTGTTTCTTTATATTTTTGAAGAAAAAAAAAACAATGAATTATTAGAAAATTTACAATTGTTAATTACTAATTGAGATATTTATATTAAGTCCATTCGTGAAATTTCGGGAATTGCCAGAAGTAGTTCTTCGTATTTTATTTTGGCACCATAGAAGATGAAAAGTGAGGAAAGTTATAAAGTGGAGAAAAGATACGAATCAATTATAAGAGCAGCAATAATTATGGTTTTGAAGTGTACAAAACTATTGGAAAGTAACAAATATTTGAACCGTTTGATATTTGATATGTTGAAAATGTTCGTATATTGGCGTATTTTTTTATTTAACTATTTAATTCATCCAATTAGTTCTAAATTTTAAAAAAAAATCTTTAAGATTTGGTGGAAGAAACTGAATTACGTCTGAATTTATTAAAATTTACTATGCAAATATACAAGGAAAAGGAGTAAGAATCAATTTTAATGAAAGTTGTATTGAGAATGAGAGAAAATCGTTTTAATATAAATGTTTGATTATATTTATATATTTCAATGTAAAACAATTAGTATAAATAAATGTCACTTTCATAATTCCGTCTTGAGATGAAACTGATGGCTATAAATGAATGAATAATAATAAATAGAAATGTATGTTTGTTTCCTTTCGAAACGTTTTCACTCGGAATCAGAGATTATATATTGAAACATTTATTTCCACTTTAACAAAAAAAAACAACTCTCAATTTCACTTTCATTAAATTAGCGCTACTTATAAGGAGATACGTTTTGCAAATAGAATGCGACTATTTCTGTGTATGAATGTTTATATGACACGTTAAGATGTAACGGAATAAAAAATAATGCAAGTTTCATCTCGAAATGAAAGTAGTTTAGAAATCCACTTATATACTAAAATATACTAATTATAGTGAAAGACTCTAAAATTATGTTGTATGTTTTTATGTAATATATCTTTGTCTCAATATTTAGCAGCTATTATTCATTAAATTGATGAATTTGTTAATATTTTGTGAAAATTAAAGTTTTTTTTTTAAATGTTATATGTAATTGATTTGCTTAGACTGAGAAAATTTGAAACTAAGAACATTTAACCAATTAGTTGGAAAACTTTCTAAGAAGCATACAAGCACTAGATTTACCAGGAAGAAGAAAAAACAAATAGAACATTCGACCTTAATTAGCGGAAAAATTACTTTAAATGATTGAAACCTACTGCATCCTAATTTTCCAGTGCTTACGCAATTACGTCCACTCGTGAATGAACTGTTATTATCAAACAGGCGCAGTCGTAATTGAATTAACCTAGGTAACGAAACAAATAGAAAAAGAAAAAAAAACAAAAGATAGAAAGAAACAAGAGATGTGACCCCGTTACAAGGTGGCATCCGAAATTGCGGATGGATTCTGAGGGATTTGCGTTAGATTTTCCTTCAGCGCACTTTAAACCGCATGTTTTATTCAAAGCATATCCATAATCGCCCGCAAAACTTCGCTCGCAGCTCGTATTTTATTGAGGGAATCCGAGCAGAGGAGAGAGCGCCCACACGTGAATACAATATTATTTCCGAAGTGCCGTAATGGGACTTTACTTCTCGTTGTTTAAGCTAAATAAGTGAACTAGACGCATCGACATTAACATTTTTATGTCCACTGCATAATATGGCGTTGTCTCGAAACCATAACAATTTAAATACAATGGTGGTCATAGTGATCATAGCAGTAAAGCAATGGTAACCATGGCAATTACTGCGGATAACTCCCTTTAGTCGCCTTTTACGACAAGCGAGAGTGGACTTTGGTCGTATTCTTTCAGCACCCCGAACCAAAGGGTGTAACAAAATATACAAGTTTAGTACAAATCTTCCTTAACATAAATTGAAAATCGATTTAGATAAAGACTCTTATTGTATTATTTGTTTATTTTACAAGTTTACAGTTAGTGAGATTCGAATCTGCTTCAACTTTTGTAGCAGATTTTATGATACAGCCACGGTGCAACGAATTTCAAATTGAAGTTTTTCTTCATTATTTTGAAGCATGCTGCCATCTTTGAAATCGAGTCCGCACTTTAAATTTAAATCTCCCGCTGATTCACAATGCTAATCAAGCGGATCGCGCTAAATTATCTTAAATCTAAATATAAATAGAAGTGATTTTCGATCGTATGATTTCATTTAAAATTAGTCGTACAGCTAAGAGATTGCTCTTATGTAAATTGATCATTTATACTTATATAATTTTGACTCACTCTGTCTTTCTATGCGGTAGATGCTGCATCTCTTTCGCTCCGATTGCGGCAGGCATGGATTGCGCTCGTTTCGGCCGGTTTTCCAATAAGTAGATTTCTGCAATCGTCGATACGTCAGTTTCAGTGAGAGACAACCAGTACGTCAGTCGACGAGAAATTCGGGTATTTTCTTCTGGAAGCAAAAAGCAACCAACAACTAAACAAGATGCAAGGAATGAGCTTGACCTCGCTGAAGAAGCACAAGGCTGTAAGTGAACGGCTAAAATCCAAATAATTGCCCATCGAATTTGGCTCTATATTTGTGCACCTTTGATTTTTTCGACTGTTATGCAACAAAACGAAAATACCCAAAAAATTTTCTAACCTGCCTCCTTCTAATTTGCTATGCACTTTATAGATTTATTATGATTTTGCATTGATTGATTTGCAGTTGATCCCGCTGTACGTGTGCGTCGGTTTGGGTTGCGTCGGTGCCGTCTTCTATACGGCCCGTCTCGCCCTCGCCAACCCTGATGTTGCCTGGAACAGGAAGGAAGGAGAGATCTCCAACGAGCATTACTCCAACAAACAGTACAAATTCTACTCCCCGAATGTGGATTATTCCAAGATGGAGAGCCCTGCCCCGAAATACTAAACAAGTTGGAATCAGCTGCTGCAGTGTACTCACTCTCTCTCAGCTCTAGTATATTGAATAGTTAACAATGTTTTAAAGTTAATTATATTAATTTTCCTATCTTGTAATGTGTAAATAAAACAGAAGAAATAGTGAATTCAAAAAATATTATTTTTTTTTTCGTTTCATCACACACACACACATAGCTGGCTATGATGATGATTCTACAGAAATAAACATTAATTATAATAATTTATTAAGTATACGTAAAATAAAAGTAACACATTTAACTACCAGAAGATTGTTTTGTTTGTTGTTGTTGCTTTTGAGGAAGGAAAAAGAATAACTGTGGCGCAGGGCAGGTCGATTAACAAAAAAAATTAATAATTTTTTTTTTTAAATTAAACTTTGATTGCTTATGAATATAAAATAAAAAAAAAATAATTAAAGATTGCGTTAGATCACTTTCGTTCCTCACTCATTTGTGTGTTTTTTCTTTTAATTGAACGAGGGTGGGAGGACTGGTAAAGTATGTTGTGGGGGGAGGGTGGTTGTTGATTAAAGCGTCTCGATAATAGCGTACGATAAATTAAAATTAAAAATATATATAAGATCGATTAACAGAATTTTATCCCTTAAAAAATAATATATATGTATTTATATATATGTGAAGTCTGCCCAACCGTTTATATCTTCATCATCAGTTTTGTTTAGAGCCAATTCGGCTGCTTTTCCAATCTTTTTTTGAAAAGAACAAATAATTATTACCAGGAGGCATGCAGCGGATGTCCCAGGCTTCTGAGATTGTGGAGGATCAATTAATCTTTGGGGGAAGGATTTCATTGAGGAAGAGGTTTCATGGAGATGGGGGGCGGGGGCGTCTGGTTCTTATAGGAGAGATTTTTTTTTGTTTTGTCGTTCAGCGATAATTTAGAGGTATTAATATTAATAATAATAATTAAACTGTTGTTGTTTCTGCTGTCTCTGGAGATGGCTAATCGATGAAGCTCTGCTCCACACAAGCCTTCACTCGCTTCTCGTACTCCCTCCTGTTCTCTTTGTAAAGCTGAGCAGCCATTGAGTTTGCTGGTGAGTTCGGGTTTGGGTCACTTAATAGAGACTGAAAAGAAAGCGATTAGAGATACTGATTTGTCGGATTTGTGGATTGTTATTCACTTACTTGAATAGAAGTTAAGATCGCGGAGACGTCGTAAGTAGGGCTCCATCGGTTCTGCAGAATATCCAAGCAGATTCCGCCGTCCGCGTATACGTTGGGGTGGAACATGTGACTGACGAAACGCACCGTCGGCGGTTTGTTGGGGTACTCCTCCGTGAATTCGATGGTCAGTTTGAAGGTGCCATCCTCGAAGGGGGTGTCATGGGGCCCGAAGATCACAGCATTCCAGATCATGATGTTATTGTCGGTGGGAGCGCCCGAGACTCCGGTTGGGGGATCCTCCTGCAACCTGCACATGGGAACTTGTTGTTTACATCCGCGTCTTGCCAATTGCACGAAATCAATGTCACCTTTGACCCAAATACAAAGGATGTTGTTGGTCACAGGGGGGAATGGAATGGAAAAAGGATGAAAAGCAAACAAACAATAACAACAAAAAGCGATCAGAGGAACAAAGGAATCGGAAACGGTCCTGGCGCGAATCGCGCCAGCCTGTGCGTGAATATATATATATATGACTCATGGAAAATCGCGTGCAATTAAATGCACCTCTTGATAAATGTGGAGGATAGTAATAAAGGTGAAAATTACCGTTTGAAATCGCGCATGAGACGTCTCCTGGCTGGCGTGGACATTGTGCTGCTCTCTCCTGAAGGGGTTCTCCTGGGGGACTGCTGCTGCTGCTACTACTACTACTAATGTTGTTGCTGCTCTCTTCACTTCTCGCAAGATCGTCGCGCCGCGCGATCGGTTTCCAATTGGGGAGTCGAGTTCTTGGGACGAACAGAATATTCTGACAGCAGCAGCAACTCTCACATACACACGCACACACACAAAGTGCAGTCGCGCTGCTTTATATATGTATATATATATATATATATATACGTATGTACGTACGTACGTATATAGCGGAGTGGCGAGAATGTGTGAGTGTGTGTGTGTATGTATTGGTGTATACAGATATAGAATATGTACGGAAATATGCGTTAGGCAGATAGTTATATATATATATTCACGGGAGACGATGGCTTCGATCAGTCCTTTTGCAAGGGTTCGGTCATCGCTGTCGGTGGAACAACGAACGGTGGGGATTCTGTTGTTCGATCGAAAAAAATAAACGCACTGTGATTACACTTTTCAATGATGGAGTTTTTGATTAGGTTATTCTATTTCTGACAGTTCGCTCAGATCTCTGCTGCACCGACGGCGACGGTGGCTCCATCTGCGTGTCGTACATCAGCAACGATTTGAAGAGTTCCGCCGCTCGCCCGCTCGATCGCTTCCGTCACCTCCACCATCCGCTTTTCGAAATCTTGAACGAAGATGCTATAAAAGCACATAATTTCTTTGTCCGAATTTCCGACGTAGCTATACTCCAGATATTCCCTGGAACAGAGCAGAGTTTTGGAAACGCTCATGTGGATCAGCTCCAACATTTTAAGCTGCTCTCATCATCCTTCCGATATCTATTCTGACGAATATCAGCAGGAACGAAAAGTTCTGCATTTACGCCAAATATTCTAAATTTTGATATACGCAATCGTCGTGCATTCGATTGAAACTTCGTGGACGTCTTAGCCTTACGCAAATTCTTAGAAATGTGCGGAAAACTTCTTTGTCTCACGTACGAAGAAAACTTCACCATCGTTACAAGCACAAATAAATATCCTGAACACACAATGAAACTTCTAAACTGCACCTAATTGTGCAACATACCTTAATGATGATATGAACATTCGTTTTTCTTCTTCTTCTTCCTTCCCCATCTTCATTTGGCTTCCGCATTACGCGCCAATAAGCCAGCCCCTGTCTGTGTTCATCGGATTTCTTCTTCCGTCCAAATAGTACACCAAAAATTTCCCTCTTCAAAACAAATAATCAAAATAAACGACTTCTTCTAACTACATCTATAAAATATGTACATAGGAGAGATACGGCCAGACAGGTAAAGACACTAAAGGTAACGGATTGAACACAAATATATGACGATTTTCAAACCGGGGTCTCAGCGGTTCAGTACTCAGGTTCGTGGAGAGACCTCGGAAAGGTATAAATTAGAAGGGTTGACACATTAAAACTATATATATTGAATGAGACATCGTATGGACGTGGGCATGGGAATTCTATTATGCAGCAATCTGGCTAAATGTCCGGACCGTAAACGACTAAGCTTGGATTCGTTTTTCTAAACATAGAAACAAAAATTCAGTTGGTATCAGTGTTACCAGCCTGCTCTAAATTCAAATATTTCCTCAATTACAAAATACGATGAAAAAAAACGTTTTAAAATTGAAATAAAATTGTTCGTTCATCTACAATAAACAACAACAAAACTTCTATAAAACATCAAATATTTATACTAAATGAAATGATTTTCTTAATAGAACTCTCGATGCATTGACGCAACGCATTTCAAGTAAAATAACGCTTCGCAGTTTCTGTTTCGCACTGAGCGTGCACATTTTTTTTTGCAGTTCCTATTTTACAAGTGGCTTTAATAGCGTCATCAGTGGTCGCAAGATCGAAACAGTTGTCCCGCTAATCTGGGTCGCGTCTCGAAAAGGTTAAGAACCACTGCTGCAAAGCAATTGAAAACGTTTCCCAATTGAGTTAAATGTATCGTCGCTAAAGCACGCACAAATCTCTCAAACGGGAATGCGACTTGTCTTAATATTTTAAATGGTGCTAATTTCATAGTTCTAATGAAATAATATATCTCTGTGACATAAATTTCGTTTGCTCTGAAACTGTCAAAACGAAATGTCGCACCGACGTTTCCCATGATGATATTCAATATTTTTAGAGAAAATTATTTAAGAAACGTATTGGAAATTGAAATTTCTTATAACATATTTCATAATTTGGATCAACTTTTTAATATATATAAATCATTAAGCTGTCAAATGTTTGAAATATTATCTGTGTGTAATACTGATGATGTACAGATTATTTGAATGGTGTATGCTATAATAGTTGATAGAATTTCGCAAGGAAGGAAATGCGTGTGATTGTGATTAGTAAGTTTTTTTTTGTTGTTCAAGACTCGATGAGTGGATTAGTAATAGATGGTCAACGAATGGGATTCGAATATGTAATGGATTGTGCAGAGATCTTGGATCACAGAAAATAAGGTCATAGACTGCTTCTTGATTAGAAATACACTTTTTTTTTCGTATTTTGTTTTGTTTTGTATTAATTTTATTTGCAATTCGTTTGTTTCGGTTGCAAATGGAATCTATTGGCGACCGAGCGTATTTTCGATTGCGAAACATTATCAAAATTGAATCGCTGATCAATAATTCTTCATTCGGTTGACATCCAATTGGCCGTTTTCTATGTTAATTGTTCGTTTGGCTCGGAGCAGCAGCTTCTTAGATCACGAACGAAGCAAGCGCGCACGAATTATGCGTGAAATATAATATAGATAGAGAGATGCGTTTGTATGTATGTGCGTATTCTTCCCTAATAGTTTACGAGGCAAATGCCGATCCATGAGTTGACATGTGTGATGTGGCTCGCTCTTAAATGCGTTTAATGAGACCTAAATAAACACCAAAGAATCTTAAAAATTAACCAATTGCTAAACCGAGCCAATTAATTACGGCCGAAACATCGTTAAAGGAGAAGAGCGCAACCCGAAAAAAAAACGATCCAGGGAATTAGAATACAAATCATGAATTATCGCTTATTTTTTGTACTATAATTACATTAGTCTATAGGAGATACTTGAAGATTTTCGCGCGTTGCGTAATCGGACAGAGCCAGAAGTACTCTTCTTTTTTTTTTTGGTCAATTTTTAGCTCTCGTTTTGGAATTGGAATTGTGTTCATTCGATGCGAGTGGAGAGGAGAGGGAGACGAGATGTTGCATGTAAATTTGAAGATGTGTTAAAACGTTTTAGAGAAGATTTCCCCCCCGCGCGCGCTTCCCACTTTTGGGTGACCGGGTAATAAATAGGAGGATGGAACAGGGAAGTGGATCAGAAACGGTCGTGGGCCCCTTGTTCGCACAGCAAGGGTGCCTCTTCGAAGATGAAGTCCAAGTTCTTATTAGTGGCGGTGGCGACGGCGGTGCTTCTGGCTTCTGCTGGAGTCGAAGCGAGGGTCAGGAGGCAGAGGCTCAGACCTCAAGCACAGCAAGCAGAAGGAGGAGCAACTCAGTCGCAGCAGGCGGCTTCCGAATACGACGAGTACGGCAACGAATACGAGGACTACTACGAGGAATTGGACGATAAGAAAGGTATAGTCTTTGGAAATCATTTGTCTTTACCAAATTTCATTTCATTGTATAAAATCAAAGTTGGGGCCGAGTACACTTACCCGTGGAACTCCCCATTCCATTGCAGTATCTTATTGACACTTCATTGCATCAGCATGCACTTAATGCTTCAATTGAATGCAACTGTCACTTTGAAAGGTCATTGAGGGTTCTTTCAATATTCTAATTGGGTCAAGCATATATGACTTCATTGCATTCCATATAGTCAATTTTCTTATTTGCTGAAATACTGATATTCTATGTTGATCTTTAGCTACAGTTACTGCAGCTACCCCGGTAGTTCTGAGCGAAAATCCGACGCCGCAGCCGCCGGATGAGCGACCCAGGGATTTCGATGTCGCCGGTGTTACCGTCGACAGCGTCTACGTTCAACCCGAAGAGGAACATCAGACGGCCGCGCCCACCAGCAGCGTTGACGTTCGCATCTTGCCACCGACGACACCAAGTTCTCTGGTGCCGGAATCTCATGCAGCTGCGTTCAGCTGCTCCCACGAAGGAAGATGGTACCAGGAAGGTCAACGCTGGCAATCCGATCCATGCACCAACTGCTCCTGCACCAGCGGACAGGTCATCTGCACCCAACTACCCAACTGTCCCCCAGGTACGCGTATCTTTTTCGCCAAGAAAAAATTAAATTGAAATTAATATTTTTTTTTTTGATGTTAGTTGTCGTGGAATCTATACCCGGACCAAGGGGAACCACTGGAAGTCCCGGTGATCAAGGTAACCCAGGAAACGCAGGAACTCCAGGCAGCCCAGGCCATCCCGGTATTCCCGGTCCACCAGGTCCTCCGGGTCCTGCACCAGATCTATCTTTGTACTACCAACAATTAGCGTTATCCGAAGCTGGCAACGATAAAGGTCCATCCTTCCCGGTGGAGCCTTTCCAATACTTGCAGGCTCAAGTCGGACCGATCGGAGCTCGAGGTCCTCCCGGACCACCAGGCATTTCGGGTCCGCAGGGTTTCCAAGGCGTTCGAGGAGAATCCGGAGAATCAGGCCCGACCGGCCCGGCCGGTCCACCAGGTCTCAGAGGCATGCCCGGACCACCTGGAAAAGACGTAAATATGAATATAGAGAAAATAAAATTTTGATATATTAATACTTAAATCAACTTAGGGCGAACCCGGCGAAGATGGTGAAGCCGGTCCAGCTGGAGCCGCAGGCCCTGCTGGTCCTAGAGGATTACCAGGAATGCCAGGAGTTCCCGGAATGAAAGGCCACCGCGGTTTCCAAGGATTGGACGGTGCTAAAGGCGAGCAAGGAGTGGCCGGTGATAAAGGAGCTGCAGGTATCCAAGGACACGTCGGACCGACCGGACCCATGGGACCTTCAGGTCAACGCGGCGAAAGAGGCAGGGAAGGTCCACCTGGACCACCAGGTTTAAGAGGAGTCGATGGTATTGCTGGACCACCCGGCGGACCAGGTGCAATTGGAAAGCCCGGACCTCCAGGATTCCCCGGAAGTCCAGGCAACAAAGGTGACGCTGGCGCTTTAGGACCTAAGGGAAGTCAAGGTCTGCAAGGACCTCGCGGCGAGAGCGGACGTCCCGGACAGCCAGGAGAGTCCGGTCCACCGGGAATCTCCGGCAAGGACGGTATGACCGGAGAGAAAGGAAGCACCGGCACTCAGGGAATTTCAGGTCCACCGGGATTCCCCGGCGCCAGAGGTTTGCCAGGTCTTGCTGGAATCCAGGGCCAAGCGGGAATCAAAGGACATCCTGTAATTATAATCAAATTAGAAAATGTATATTGTTTTTTTATTAAATGTGGATAATACAGGGTGCGCCAGGCGAACGCGGATTCAAAGGAGAGAGCGGAACTAAAGGAGAAACTGGATCAATGGGCCCTAGGGGATTAACCGGAGCTATCGGTCCGGAGGGTAAAAGAGGAAAGCGCGGAATGAGAGGACCGATTGGTATTCAGGGAGTTCAGGGAGAGAGAGGACACCCAGGAGCACGCGGTTTGCCTGGTCCGGATGGTGCGATGGGACCGAAGGGACAGTCAGGAGATCGCGGACCGCAAGGGCTTATCGGTCCTAAAGGTCCACAGGGAGATATAGGAAGACCTGGTGCAACGGGATTGCAGGGCGCTCGCGGTTTGCAGGGACGTTCTGGTCCACCAGGAAAGACCGGTAATCCGGGAGAAAGAGGTATTCCAGGAGCGGACGGAAAGCCAGGCGAACCAGGTCCAACAGGTCTTACCGGATTACCAGGTCCCATGGGATTGCAAGGAGACAAAGGCTTAACGGTAACTTACTTTTATAAACATTGATTTCACATAAATTATATATAATTACCTGATACTAGGGTGAAGCTGGTAAGGAAGGTGAACCAGGTCTGCCCGGTGCACCAGGACCACGAGGAGATCCAGGAAAGGATGGAATTCCCGGCTTATCCGGCCCACCCGGTCCACCGGGAAGCGACGGAGAGAGAGGAGCAGCCGGACAACCGGGTCCAAGAGGTTTCCAAGGATTACCCGGATCGTCTGGTAATCCAGGAACTCCGGGCAAGGATGGAGAACAAGGAGTTCAGGGACCGGTCGGACCTCCAGGTGCGGCTGGATTGAGAGGAGAACGCGGTTTTCCAGGAGAGAGAGGCCCATTGGGACAGCCGGGAGGACCAGGTCTTAAAGGATCAGCTGGTATTCAAGGATTGGATGGATTACCTGTAATGAAAAATAACACAATTGACTTTAGTACATATTAATTATAAATAATCAATTTAGGGTCCATTCGGTCCCAAAGGAGACAAGGGACACGCAGGAACTCCAGGACTTTTGGGTTTGCCAGGTTTGAGGGGACCTCAAGGTATGCAAGGCGAGAAAGGAGAACGTGGCTCTTTCGGACCTATCGGTCCAGAAGGACCTCCGGGACGACAAGGTGAGAGAGGTCTGCAAGGACCAGTGGGACCTGTTGGACCACCGGGAGAACCTGCTGAACGCGGAGATCAAGGATTACCTGGACCACCAGGCGAGGCTGGAGCACCGGGTAATCCGGGAGAAAGAGGTCCATTGGGATCGCCGGGCGCTCAAGGTTTCCCAGGTTTAGTTGGACCTCCGGGTCTTACCGGACCGAAAGGAGATCGCGGTTTAACCGGCTCCAAGGGTATGCAGGGTAATCCTGGTATTATCGGTAAACCAGGTGAGCAAGGTCCATCTGGATTGAACGGTTTGCCTGGATCGAAGGGTGCGAGAGGTGAGACCGGAGCCAGAGGAGATGCTGGTATCATGGGACCACCAGGAAGGCCCGGAGAACAAGGACCAGCAGGTCTGACAGGAAATTCAGGACCTCAAGGTTTGGCTGGTATTCCTGGAATTAAGGGAGCCAGCGGTGATATTGGCAGACCGGGTAATCAAGGCCCGGCTGGACTTCCCGGACCGCAAGGAATTGAGGGACCTAAAGGAGATTCCGGCAGTGAAGGACCAAGAGGTATGACCGGTCCAGCAGGTCCTCAAGGACAGGCGGGAGACAGGGGTATGCCAGGATTGCCGGGACCACCGGGATCCGCAGGAATGAGGGGTATGAGAGGCGCCCAAGGAGAGATTGGCGCGCAGGGCAAACCAGGAAACGAAGGGCCAGCAGGACCGCAAGGTATTGCCGGACCACCAGGACAAACTGGTCCAGCTGGAGACGCCGGACCGGAAGGCTCACCAGGAAAAGCAGGACCACCTGGAATTGCAGGAAGAACTGGCGATAAGGGACCAATCGGAAATCCAGGTCCATCCGGACCATCGGGACAACCTGGAATGCCGGGTCCACCGGGTAATGCAGGTCCAGTCGGTCCAACAGGAGAGAGAGGAATGCGCGGAGAGACTGGACCGCAAGGTGTTGAAGGTCAACAAGGACAAAGAGGCAAATCGGGAGCGCCAGGAGTTGAGGGTTCTAAGGGAGAACGCGGCGACATCGGTGCGAAGGGATCGAAGGGTCATCGCGGTTTGATCGGTCTGCAGGGTATGCCAGGTGCTCAAGGTTTGACGGGAGAGAAGGGTATGACCGGAAATCCGGGATTATCAGGAAAAGACGGCGAAGTTGGCCCGCGCGGATTACCGGGAAGAGACGGCGGTCCAGGTCCTCAAGGACCACCTGGACCTCACGGCAGCCGAGGTTCACCAGGTGAATCGGGTAGATCTGGTCTGATGGGACCGGCCGGTCCTCCTGGACCTCCGGGTCCTCCAGGCGAAGGAATTGGGTATGACGCAGCCAGTTTAGCGGCGATCATGGCTCAGGGTCAAATCAACAACCAAAAGGGACCCGATTCCATGGGAGACGAACCGATGCGCTTGTTCGGCAAAGAGATCACCGACGAAGAGAGGAAGAACTTGGTCATCAAAGCTTACGAGCAGCTCAAGGCATCCTTCGAGAAGTTCAAGAAACCGAACGGCGAAAAGTCGTTCCCAGGAAAGACGTGCCGCGACATCGCCACCGCGTATCCCCATTACGAAAGCGGACAATACTGGATCGATCCAAACGAAGGAGACGCTAAAGATGCTATTTTGGTCCATTGCGATATGGAAACTAAAGCCAGTTGCATCCTTCCAAGCCCAGAAAAATCTCCAACAATCACTCATGTAGGAAAAGAACAAGAAATTTGGCTTGGAGAAATCGATGGTGGCATTAAGATGACCTACAAGGCGGACAGCACTCAAATTGGTTTCCTCCAATTGCTCTCCTCGAAGGCCGAACAGAACATCACCTATCATTGCAAGAACTCCGTCGGTTATTACGACGTGAACAAGCACACGTACAGAAAGGGACTTAAGTTGATCCTTTGGAATGAAGCCGAGGTTACTCCAAAGGGTCCCAACCAGAGGTTAAAATATGAAGCTTTAGAAGATGAATGCAGAGTAAGTATCTAATTGTTACACGTTTATGAAGAGTTTATTAACTATGCGTGTGTGTTCTTTGCATTTCAGTTCCGAGCTGACACTTGGGCCAAGACGGTCATTTCGTACAAAACTGATAAACCAGTCCGATTGCCCATCATCGATGTCGCCGTCAGAGACGTTGGCGAAGAAAATCAAGCGTTCTGGCTCCAAATCGGCGCCGTCTGCTACTCTTAATCTACTTTATTCTAATTTTGTACTTAGCGAAATGAAAAAAATAAACACTCTGTACTTATAACACAAAAACACAGTCTTATAATGATTTCAAATATATCCTATAGTCCCCAAATAAAAATACATTAAAAATTTAGAAAAGAGATCCAACAGTTTGTGACCAGAAATTCTAAAAAGATAGAACATCAAAAGAGCAATCTATGTGTATATATGATTAGTAATTTAAAAGCAAATGAGAAAATAATGAAATCTACCCTACAATTCGAATATATTGAAACAAGAACAAAATGAGTAAAGAAAATTAAGAAAACGAAAGCTTTTGAAGATATTCAAATTTTAAATTTAGAGATAGAACTTTCCCAAAAGACAGAAATAAATTTAAATATTTAAGATAGACAACTTAACAATCACCAAATTAATTTGAAAATAATTTGAGAAATGCCTTAATTTTAAAATATATTATACATAGATATTATTTCAATATAGCAGATTACTATAATATAATAATTTTGAGTAACTATATCCTCGTGATAATAGAATTATTCATTTGATTGTAGCTACTACATAACATAACCCCAATTTGCTGATCCATTAAGAAACCTCAATCAAAATAAAGGATTATTTATCAATTTAATGAATTAATTACTAGACGTACTGAACGGTAAAGATTTAGACTAATTATTAGTAATGAACTGCAGTTGGTTTCTGTTATTTTACACTGATTAATACTTTTTATAAATGTTGTAGGTTATGTCTATCATAAGATTAAAGGCTCTGAGAAGCCTAGGGCCCAGTCGAAGATGCTTCTCCGTCGGGGTCCAACAGGAGGACGAATACGTGCCAGTTGCACAGTACCCGAAAATTCTAGATACTTCATACGAGGCGAAGCAGGCCAGAAAGAAGGAAGCAAAATGGAAAGAGATAAAAGATGTGAAAACTGTTGAGGAGAAGCAAATCAAACTGAACATGCCCAGATACTATGGGTTCAAATGTTACGTTTTCCAAGAGGACAAGGTTCCTTACAACAATCTAAACTTAGCTCAACACATCACCAAAACCCATTTGATCCCCACTCGCACCCTGCCAGAATTCTACAATGACATCTCAGTGGATGGTCACTTAGTGGCAATCAAATCTCAAATCGAAGAAGCCTTGCTGATTGAATACGAAGGTTACAAAAGGAACAACACAAACTTGACAGAGAAACAGATTGAAGATGCATTGAGTTCATCAATAGTGAAGCAGCTGAATAGGATTTTGATTAATAATTTGGTGGAGGATAATTCGCATCTGCTGGACACTCAGGTGGATTACGATGCGAGGATCGAAGCGTTTTGGTACGCAGGAGGCATGAATCCGCCGTTGAACGTGAAAAAGTACAGGACCGGAGTGGAATGGAGGAAGCACACCGAAGACGATCCGGTGGATCGCGCCATTCATTACTCTGGAAGCCCCTCGGTTCAGTTAAGAAACGAATTGCCTTTACCACCGATAATCCCGCATTCGGAAGCCTCGAATCCCGATTTCAAAGTGCCGTTCTTCAAGTACGATCCGCGTACTGTTGGTACAACGACGACTCATAAACACGCTGCGAATATTGCAGGTAAAATTGGGTGAAGTTTTGATTAACTTTAAGATGTTTAATTATTTGTATTTAAGGATATTGGCCTGGGGAAAAGTATCAGTTCGGATTGATGTCTTATCACAAGCGAGGTCACATGTTGGAAAGGAATTTCGGGGATGAAGCCGATGCGAAAGAGGCTTTGCACAGGCAAGGAATCTTGTCGTCGTTTGGATGGTTGAGCGCTCAAGCGAATATGCTTGGATTCACGACGTTCAATGAAATCACCTATCCGATGGTGACGCAGACAGTGATCACGGACGGACAGAAATTCTCCTTTTACCTTTACCAGATGAACACGATCCTCATGAACGGCGATAATTACAAAGAGAACCCTTTGAAGAACGTTTGCTGGGCGATACCGGAGACAGAGTTGTTCGAGGAGATCAAAGACGGTAAATTGGTCGGTTTCAACGATGAAGTTTTGAAGAGTCTGCTGAAGTTCTACAAGAACGTACCTCAGGAGCGTTTGGGTGTGAATTTAAGGCCATATTTGGCTGGCGAGAAGATCATAGCCAATTACAGTGATGACGATAAGAGGAATTGGTTGGAGCGAGAGTACAAGTACTTGGTGTCGAACAGGCCGCGCTTCAAACTCGATTACGAAGTGTACCATTGGGAGAAGATTTACAAGATCGACCATAAGACTAGACCGATCGAGGCTAGGCGAAGACCGTTCGAGCTGTTCGTCGATCCGTGGAAGAGGACTTTGGATGATAGGCAACCAAATTATATCCCGAGGAAGCTCAGGCCGGACTTGCCCAGACATAAGGGACGTTACGCCAAGGAATATTTCCCATAGACGATTTTGGGTGTTGTGCGTTTTTTTTAAAAGCAATTTGTGAATAATGTTTATAAGAAAAGGATCAATAAATTGAGTATTAACAATTACTATCTGAAATTGTAATTCTAACGGTAGGAATTTGGAAGTCATAAAAGATCAGTAATATGCATATGTCGTGTATATTAATATATGAAAAAAACGTATTTGTTTTTTCTTTAAATGGTACAAAATAAATAGTATAATATAAAATTTGAATATATTATGTATAAACGTTCTTAATCCTAAATTCACTTCGCTCGTCTCGCGTCTCAATTCAATAATATTTATACTTCAAAAAAAATAACAAAAAACAAACAAACAAAATTACCCAAACCTGAAATAGAAATGCAAATCGAGTTCATCTGTGAGGGAAGAGAAAAAAATAACGAAGATTCGAGTTCCCTCGAACTCAATAAGAAACGTAAACTTTTTTTTTTCTTCCGGTTTTAGGCCGTCAATATGAATTCCTCAACAAATCGAAAGAGACCGATTAACAGATATATAATAATAATATTAAAAAAAAAGAATATTTACGTCGAGAATAATAATAATATAGTAAAGTTAATACGAGTTAAATACTGAATTGAAAACAATAATTATGAGATATATCACATTAAACGAAAGTAACACTAAAGGCGCTACTAAATCCTCCTTTTTTTTAACATAAAATACAGAAAACAATATATAACATTGAAGGCTACCTAAGGTAAGTATATGCGAATAATCAAAGTCACTTCTCCTCTATACCAGAAACGTTACTTGCGTGTGTGTTTGTTGTGTAGCACCAAATATTTTTGGGGAAAAGGAAAAGAAGACGAGGGGAGGCTAAGAACCGCACGGCATCGATTATATATATAAATCTATAAATATAAATACTCTACTCTGACTTATACCTGGAAAATCTCGTCGTCGTCGCTTTGGAGGGTCTCGTAATCGCTCTTCTTCTCGATCTTCTCGTAGCCCGAAGACTCCGAGTCGGTCTTGTTGTCTTCGTTCAGCTTCTCGTAGGGTGGATCATGCGCGTTATTTTCCACGGTCTCATAACCCGACTTCGATTTGGACGAAGAGGAGTCGTCCGTGTTATTGTTGTTCTGCAGCGGCTCGTATCCCACATCCAAATACTTGACGCTCTCGTAATTGGGATCGTTCTGGCTGACGCTCTCGTAGTTTGGATCGCTCTCGCTGTCCTCCTTCGGCGATTTGTTAACCACCGAATACCCGTCCATGGCCATGGACTCTTTGATCGTGGAATAGCCGTGATCTTTTACCTGCTCGTAATTCGGATCGGGATTGTTCCTGCAAACCTCCTCGTAACCGGGATCCGTCCTCAAGCTGTCCGGACCGTTGATGCTCGCGTAATTCGGTTCGCCGGCATCGCAATCACCGTTCTTCACCTTCTCGTAACCAGGATCGGAATTCTTGCGCGGCGACTTCTTCAGCGTCTCGTAATTGTGCTCGCGCCTCTGCTTCGTCTCGTTGACCACCTCCACCGTTTCAGCGGGTGGCTCCTCGGACGTGGACGGTTTCTTGTTGCGATTCTTGTGCACCTTGGCGTACATATCGTCCAAGTTCTTCGNAGAGGCGAATTCGCCTGTCGCTTCTCCGGTTTCGGTGAGCCCAAGTTCAACACCGAACTCGACGAGGACGCTACAAAAGTTTCTGCATCAGCTGACGAAACGCGAAACGAACAAAAAAAAAGAACGAAAAACGAAAATAAAAACAAATAATAAATAATAATAAGAAGGAGAAGGATTTTACCTTGTCGTGAATGGGAATTGGTCATCGATTTTAGACTATCCACGCTGGGCGGTTGCGGGGCGGATTCGTTGCTCTCGTCCGTCGCTTCGGGAACGGAATTGCTGTTGGCAGCTGAAGAAGTGGAAGGCACTTGATGGTTGATTTCTGCGGCGACTGTCAAGGCCAACGGCTGGATCTGCGCGTAAGTCTCGCTTCCGCTTGTGTACTCCTGATTGTTGGGATCCGGAATCGTTGTGTACATCTCATCAGAATCATCTGAAACCGTCGAGTAATGCGGATCCAAGCATCTCTTCACTTTGTTCATTTCTTTAGTTTGCGCTATAATATTTGCCAGCGGCTCTCTGACGCTGATACTCGTATACCCCTCTAAAAACCAAAATGATAAATAAAGTAATATCCAATTTACGCTTATATTTTACTTACTGGAAGAATCCTGGGAATCGCCGCTGAAGTTGATCTGCTGCTGCGTTATCGGGGGCGTCATGTACGGTAGTTCCTGACTAGCGGCGATGCCTCCTGATACCGCGGAAGCTGCGTTGATGTCGAGACCCGTCGAACTGTGGGCGGAGCTTCGCCGAGATCTGGGCGGGGCGTTGGATTCGGAATGCGAAGTGCCCGGCCTATCGTTACTTTTATAACAACACAATATAGTACACACTTCACAATGGATCGATTGTAACCTTACGAGGAAGGAAGCAGATTGGTCCTGGCCGTCGGCTCCTCGAGATTTTCCTCTTGGTCCGCTCCAGCGCCGTTGATTGGAGCCTTCACTATGGCGTAGGGATGCTCCTTAAACTTATCGTAATTGACGCTGGCGTACGGATCGTCGCTCTGGGAATTCGAGTTTTGAGGTCGGGGCGTCTCCAATCCATTGGTCAAAGTGTGACGTTTAGCTGATGAAAAGAAAATAGAAATACTTATAAAATATCTGTTAATTACTTAAGCAAATAAGTAGACTAATTGCATTCCCGTTACGATCTGCATATTCAAATATCGCCTCAAAGGTTTCCAACGTAATAATTATCAGATGCAAGTTCATTAAGCCCATTAAGAATTATAAATTATAACATAAACTAGAAGATATTTACCTAAATTATTGTAGGGTTCGACTGTGGCGTAAAGTTCGGAGGAGTTGTCGTTGTTGGGATCCCAGGCACCGCCGTCCACCCGATTGACCCCTTCCAGCGGGATATCCGGAAGACTCCTCCTCGTGTTGTTGCTGGCGATCGCGCTGATAATACGAAAGGAATAGAAAAGAAATCCAATTAGATTACAATACGCTTTGAATAGTTGCAAATAGGCACCGTTCTCGAAACTTGTCGGTTTCGTCGACGCCGGTCGCGTTTCTTGATTCATCGTCGGCGATGACGGCCGTCACAGTCGCTGCTGCCGCCGCCGCCGATGGAAGATGATTCACATTCTCATCGGGATTCTTTTGCGTTACCATGCCATCAAGCCCAAGCCAATCATCTCTATAAACAAAACCAAAAACAAAAGAATGTTACCAAAAAAAAAGGTGCGATGAAAGAACACTACAAACAAAATGTTTAGAAAAACAAAACAAAAACACACAGAAGTGAGAAAAAAAAACATGCGACAGTGAACTTATTAATACAGACAATACAATCCAATTGGATTGATTGATGTGGTTACGTTTTCTCGTAATGATTCAATGTTTCAACTTACTTCTGGCGTTTCCGTTTGAAGCACGAGCACAGCATCAGGACCATAACAAACGTAACCAAGGTGCAAACGGAGAGGGCAGCTATTAACATCGTTCCTAAACCATAGCAGCAGCAGCTCCCATTATTTGCTCCTCTTTTGTTTTTTTTTGTTTGTTTGTCTGTTCTTATTTACTTTTGTAGGTTATTCTCTCTCACTCCGTGGTGGGTATTCGTAAATGCACACACCACACACAGCAGGCGTACGATCAAATATGTGGCAGATCTATTATTTACATATAAAGGTCACGCCTTCACTAGATTCACGCGAAAAACGAAGTGATTCATTTCGCTCATGATCTCCGGTCACGTTACGAAACTATGCGTGTAAAAAAACATATTGCGCTGGATGGACGAGTCGTTGTTTATCGCGACGATTCGATATCGTCCTCGTCGACGTCGTCTTCATCAGCTGATTTGCTGCTGCTGCTGCAAACTACGGTACAGACGATGAAGAAGAAGAAGAGGCAACAAGGCATACGGGGAAAAGGAAAAGAAACATTGCGACAGGTCCGACGCGATGGCGCTGTCATCGAAAAGTTTGTTTAAGGGCCTCCAATTTGAAATTTGAATGCTAATTGTAAATAAAGAACTTTGTTAGTTGATGCTGCGACTAATCTAATTCATTATTAGTTTGTCTTATGTATCGCATGCAATAGTTGAGTGGCTTCATCACTTTATGTTATTGGTGAATGAAATGTAATAGGAATTCCTAACGGGATTTGCTAAGTAGGCAGCCCGTCCACCATCTGGTCATTAATTAATTTCGCTTAATTGATGGACGCCTACTTGAATGGCATGTCTATATTTAGACTAGACTACATCCGTAAACATATTTTGATTAAGATTTTTTTTTGCGTTTAGGGGAAGAGAAAAGACGTGCGTTTATTGGGGATTTACGTAAATGCACTGATCGCAAAGTCTGGGGCAAAGACGCGCACGTATCTGTTCGATTCGAAGGACGTTAATGAATGTAAACACGGGCACGGCGAGGAGGAGGTGTTCGCGTTATCACCCCGATTTTATCCCTCTCCAACGCCGGTGCTGAGGCTCTATCATCATAGTCGTCGCTCGACCTTTGCCCCGTTTTCGTATGTCTAACGATCGGACGATCGGCGATTAGTAACGCACAGTCGTAGGATCCGGCCGTACAGCCGCATCGAAGACTCGAAACGGATCAAGTGTGAGAGCTGCAGATACGCACCGCGAATGGGCAGTCTTGGTGGTGGTGCTATGGTAACGAGAGGTGGTTCGGTCGGGTGCATCGAGAGCATCTCCTGGATCGACGCGCTGCAGATACACACCGTCGCCGTGATCTTTGGCCTCTGGATCGTCGTGAAGAGGTTCGCGAAATGGCTGTGGAATCCGAACGCCTTCTTCAGTTTGGAGATGAGGGACAATCCGCCGAACTGCCTCGTCGACTCATCTCTCGGACAGCACAAATACGTGAAGCTCAAGGTTCGTCCTCGTGTCCAATAAACTATAAAACTTACAGAATCGCACGGAGCGAGATTAGATTGAATCGCATCGACGGGTGAAATCAAATTAGAAGAAAAAAATGTTCGTTGTAGATTTGCAACGCAAAACTGAGCGACGGTTGCACATCGCGATATCAATTTTAATAACAATTCTGCCATTCTAATCATTACTATTCTCATTGAAAACAACTTCAAAACTTAATCTTATTGATTCTTTATTTAATTATTTGCAAATATATTTCTGTTGATGACAATAAATAGATTACTATTATTAATAATTAATTTTCGCATAACTTCGTATAGCACTTTACAAACCACTTAAGCCAATCATGTCCAGTCGACAGAAACTCATCAAAAGTCCGATTCAAGGGAAACAACTAAATCTAAAATTGTATACTTAAACTAAAAGAAAATAATTGAACTTCGATTTTTTTTTTATATTGCAAATCAAAGTTGCTTGGATTTCCAATGATTCATATCAATTATCAATAACAAAGGCGTTTATTTCCAATTATAATTTGATATAAATAAAAAACATAATTTTCCATTTGATCAATTGTTTAACGATCTGTTAAATATTTAATAGTCCGTTTTATGCTATATCCAATTATAAATTTATTTTCGTTTCAATATTTTTGTACAATATGAATTGTTATTGCGATTGTTCAAAGTTATTTTCAAACTATTTAAATTCATATTATCAGCTGTTTTATTAATTATATTATTAATAATTCAGTTGACATAAATCAACGTTTTCACATTATCTCAGTATTTAATTTACTCCGTATTTTACGCACTGATTGAATTATAAAAAAACAGATTAATCTTGAAGCTAATTTATCATAGATATTTGTTATATTCAAGATGTCTCGAGTGTGTATTTAATTTTGTTGTAATTACGTGATTGCGTATCGAAAAGTCACGATAAACGCGAATGGAAAGCAGAAAACATATTTGTTATTTATTAAAATTTAATTAGCCGAAAAAGGAGTAATCGGAGCCGGAGGTTTAATTATTTTAAATTGCTGCCGGATTGATAATGTAATAAAAATGATGCAAAACTGACGAAAATGTGTGAAATAATTAAAATTTCGTTAAATTGGTTTATTTTCTTCTAATATTAGTGATTTTTGCAACACCCTGTGTTGTTATGGAATTGACGTATAGATGGAAATACTTACTTTAAAAACTGATGTAATTTGGGTTGTCTGCTGCAGGGTATAAAATTTCATTACGTGGAGGCGGGGTCTAAGGATCGGCCCCTCGTGCTGCTGCTGCACGGATTCCCCGACTGCTGGCTGAGCTGGAGGTACCAGATCCCGGCGCTCGCAGAGCATTTTAGGGTCGTCGCGTTGGATCTGAAGGGATTCGGGGATTCGGACAAGCCGATCTGGAGGAGAAGCTACCGCATAGACATCATCTTGGAGGAACTGAAACAGTTCATATTAACGCTGGGCGTGAGCAGATGCATAGTGATAGGACACGACCTCGGCGGTCTGCTTGGATGGTACCTGGTGAACCAGGAGCCGGAGCTGGTCGATAAATTCATAGCTGTTGGATGTCCGCATCCGAACATCTACTGGAAGAACATATCGTCGCACAGCTACTTCAACAATCACTGGATCAACTTCATGCAGTGGCCGTATCTGCCGGAGATCGACGCTCTGAAGGAGGACATCAAGCTGATCAGCGAGTACCACAAGCATCTGGAGGAGAACGGGAACAAGGACACGTACATGGAGGCATACAAGTACACGTTCTCGCGTAAAGAGGATTGGACGGGGCCCATAAACTATTACAGGAATCTGCCGTTCATCAGGATCAGCGAACGCATGGAACCGGTCAAGCAGTCCACGTTCCTGATCACCGGCAACAAGGGCCAATACGTGAAGCTGGAGGGCGTCGTCCAGTCCACCGACTACTGCGAGAAGTTCTTCGTGAAGATCATGGACGGTTCCGGCCAGTTTCCGCACCAGGACAACCCGGACATGTTCAACAGGATCATCCTGAAATTCCTGCGGGTGAACGTCGAGAGGACGCAGGTGCAGAGGTCACCGTCGAAGGGCCTGATGGACCGCATGTTCGGCGCCGTCTCCACGACGGTGAAATACGGCAACTCCGTCTTAGACACCGTTCAAAAGAAAACCAACATCAACTTGGAACATTGCAAAATATGAAAAAAAAATAACATCCGCACATGTTTCCCAGTTGTTGTTTGTTTAAATTTGTTGTTATTGTTTTAATCTAAGCACACTACATTTAAATCGAATGTAGCGAAGAAGAAACCCACAAATCATTAAGAATAATCTCGTAATATATAATGTGATTTTTTTTTAAAGAATCGAGCTTTCAATTCTGTTGAGGAAGAAAATATGCGTTGTTTTATTTATTTATTCCATTATTATTTTTTTTGTTGTTGTTATATGTATCTCTTACGAATAAATATATATTTTTTTAATTACCGACCGACGTCTCATTCCTCCTCGGAATAATCCATCTCTTCGTTAATATCGTCAACGGACGCTTCGTCCTCTTCAATCATGCGTGCATCACCGCTCGCCTTGACCTCACCCAATCGCGAGATGTACTGCATCGTGTATTTATTGAAATCACATCTGCAATCAAAAAAATAAATAAAATATATAACAAAAATCAAAGGCTGCAAATCTTACATCTTGGAAAATTGCTCGTATTTCTTGCTCAAACTCTTCTGCAGCGCCAAAAGCGCCGGCATGTTCTGCTGCGCTTTTATCGTTAAACCGTGCGTGGTAAGGATGCTCTGCGCCCAATGCAGGTAAAACTCTAGATGCGTCGAAGAATCCAAAGCCGTGGACACGATCAGCAGCAGCCTCTCAATGTATTTCTCGCTCAAAGTCGAAACCGTCAATTCAACTGAAAAAACAAATTTTTTAATAACAAATTATCCAATAAATCAATAAACACTTACTGTCTTTCACTGGGATACTCTCTAAAACTTCGTTGATCAAACCGGCTTCGTTCAATTTCATGGACATCATCAACGCGTTCGTCGAATCGTTATCAGTGATAGCTTTACGCACCGAAGAAGGCGTGATGTTCATCTGCAACTCCCAAGGGTCGAATACTACGCCGGTGTTCAAGCTGTAAATCAGCAGACCTTCGGTGGTTGCCGCAGTCCATTGTTGACCGGTCGGCGAGAACTGTACGGAGAAAACGCGGATCTCCGGTTTGAAATTGCGGGCGGCCATATCACCCTTCCGCACGCCTGGCAATCTGATGGCAACTTTACCACCCTCCAGCTCCTCCCTCTCCTCCACCAGCTTCAAATTACCAAACTCCGTGCGGTTCCTCCAACTGATGAATTCCTAATAATCAAATCAATTAATTTCAGCTTAATACAATGTTAATCGAATTATTACTTGAACACCGTCCAGAGATAAATTGCAGGTGATTGAGAATTTCTTTAAAATAATGCCTTGCTTGATGTTGTAGATGCACACGTTCTTGGATTGGCCTCCGGCCAAGATGCATTCGCCGTCAGCGGAATAGCACAACGTCAAAAAGGCCCTGAAAAGTGAATTAAATGATTAATCTACATCTTAAAAAAATATTAATGATCAATTACTTTGCTTTCAAAGATTGCTTGGCTGACACCAAGTCCGTGTCAAGTTGACCGCTTCCCAAATCGTTTCTTCCGTCGATAGTGAACAATTGGCTACCGGATTTTACATCAAACGTGGAGATTTGACCGTTCAAAGTAGCAACAGCCACCACCTGACCAGCAGGATGGAAGGCAACTGCTAATCCATCGGAGCATAATTCGATGGTCTCATGGGCAGAACCCTTCTCAATAGCGTCCCAGATGCGTAACGTCTTATCCCAGGAAACCGAAGCCATCACAGCGCTGTTCGGATTTGGACTGAACTCTATGCTGCACTGAAATATTAAAAAAAAATTATCAATTTTTAATTGAATTTAAAAGTTTCTTAACATAAACTATGAATGTATAAATAAAAGACTTACGACTGGTCCACCGTGTCCGCTCAAGATCTCCAATAAACGACCCAACTTCATCGACCATAAGTAAATTTCGAAACTGTCTTGACTACCGGCAGCTACGAATTCGCCGCTGCTGTCCACAGAAACGCAGGATAGCTGCACGGGTCGCGGAGTTGTCAACGTCCGGAAGTTACGGTACCTAAATCATCAACGTTAATTCAAACTAAACTTCTAAATAGAAGTAAAACTGACCTGATTATATCGAAAGCTCTGACCGTGCCATCCAAAGAAGCGCTAATCAAGAACTTCTTGTTTCCGCAGAACTGCAGCGACGTAACAGGACTCGTGTGTTCGCTGAACGTCACGAAGCAGTAACCGGTCTGGGTGTTCCACAATTTCACTTTACCATCTTCGCCTCCCGTTCCAATGTACTGGCCATCAGTGGAGTACGAAATGCAGCTCATGTTGCTCGAGTGCCCTTGCTGTTTCATCACATAAGTCTCACCTATAAAAAAATCACAATTAGATACATGAAACCACAAAATTTAAATTACTCACTTTGCCACTCCCACACCAATAATTGTCCAATGCCCGTACACCCTAAAGCGATCCAATCACCGGTGCAGTTCATCGCCACTGATTTGATCTTGTTTTTGGAAATGTTCAAGGAATGGATCAGACTGCATTCGGGCATTTCGTAGATGTAAAAATCACCGACGCTCGTGCCAACCACCAATATCCTATTTTCCTTGTGATACGTCGCCGAACAAATCTTCACTTTACCATTATCGAGGAGGATTTTGTGCCCAGTCGTTTGAAAGGAAACGTCAAACTTTCGTTTCTTCTTCTTGGACTTCTCCTCCTCATCGATTATATCGATCTTCTCCAATGCGTTCGTTATTTCCTCTTCAGTCTGTTCCAAAGTTTTCGTCGCATCGTAATCCTCGGCTTCTACCTCATCTTCTTTCTTTTTCTTCTTCATAGGCTCTTCAGATTTGACGTCATCTTTCTGCCTGATGCATTTCCACACGTGTAATTTGGACCCGGCCGTGATCGTAATCAAATCATCGGTTTTGTGATCAAAGAATACGGATATCACTTTACTACCTTGTTTACCCAAAGTTAATCTACTGTTGCTCTTTGTACTACAAATGAATAAAATTAGTAACTATTTTATAATTTCTGTTCACAATTCCTTACTTATCCATGGAATAAATATGTACAAGCATTTCCTTAGTTCCGACTGCCAACAGTTTCGAATCACCACTCCAATCTAAACAGATTGTTTCATCTGCAAGTCCACCCAGTCTCCTCTTCAAGTGAAATCCATTGTATTCACCTGAATATGGGCCTGGCGCTTGGAATATTAAAACTGAAAACCAAATTAAGTTAATAAAAAAAAATAATTAAATAAAAGTAAAAACAGGTAATACCTTCATCGTTAAGGCACATAGCAAATAGTTTTCCATCTGGGCTGAATTTAATAGCTTTGACCAAATGCCGGAAACTCCTTTTGTGGATCACTGTGTTGGAGATCAGTGAAATCATGAAAGTGGCATGGTTCTCATTGACTGCTAATAATGTGCACCCATTAGGACTTAAAGCTAAAGTTGTGAAGTTGTAATTGCTTTCCACTGGTAAAGTGGTCGATGTATTCCTAAAGAAAGCAAAGAAATATTAATTTTTCACTTGCAGATTTTAAAGTATTATATAAAACACTCACTTTTTCAAATCGAATATGGTTATTCGATTGCCCACAGGGCTTATCACTGAGTTGCCATCATTGGTGAATATGAGATTGCCTTGTCGGTAAACACAACCCAACAAGTTGTTAAACTAAAAACAATTTTTTCAATTATCATTGCTGTTTGAACACACATTATTATTTGTAATATTTACCGTGTAGCTGAACTTCATGTTTGTTGTTTTTCATCTAATAATACACTGGAGAGAATTAGTTTTAAAAAAAGCACGTGCGAGACTATTTGAAGCAGAAAATATAAACATAACCAAGAAAAACAATATGTGATCAATGTGACAAAATGCAACCAAATATGGAGATTACTTGTTAGTTTGGTTGACTACAAAATTGTTTAAAGTTTATTATATTTATAAAAAAATAAGGATCTTTTGAACATTAATTATTGTCATATTAATTAAATTTATGCTGTTATAATCAACTCAAAATAAGTTAATTTGAAACTTTGTTGTATTTGTGTCTTAAATTAATTAAATAATAAATATATTTGGTTCCAACAAATTGTAATTATTATATATGAAACTATTGATTAAAGTAATATATAAGTTTGAAGTAACAATTGTACTGTTAGGAAATAATTATATTCTTCAAATTGAGAGCTGGTGGTTGCCTAAACCATAAGTAATTTCAGTTATTGAAATGGTAAATCAACAGCACAGAAGCAACGCCATGTTGAAACAAAACAAGAACTTGTGGAGTAATTAATATTCATAAAGCAGGCTTTTCGGCCGTCTCCTGAGCAACGTAGCAACAAAATCAACAAACAAAAGTTCCCAGTTCGACGGGCAGCAACAATTGAGAGCGTTTTCCAGCGAGCGTAACCCAGCCCCAAGTGAGTGTCCAGTGCATTCCAAGAAGAGGTGAAAAAAAAAAGTTGCAAAATACATAATCGAGTCGTTTTCTCGTAATTGCGATACTACAAATAACATGTGGAGCATAAAAATGTCAGTGTGATTAATTCGTGCATAATAAATAATCTATTCCATTTCTTGGGCTTGTCCCCAAATGAAGTTGTGCAGTTGTGAGAGGGTAAATCAGGGTTTATGGGGAATGAGACTACAGCCAGAGACATGGAGACTGAGTCTGTGAAGTCTGAGAACAGCTCAAGGTCCCGCAGATCCAGGGGCCACAGGGACAGAAACAATTACAGGCAGCATTCTCACAGGAGCACCAGGTAAAGAAATTCACAGTACATCCAATTAGATTCAACTGTTGTTATTTGGTATTTTGTGAATTTATTTTCAGGAGCGGCAAATCTCGCAACAAGAACGAGGACAGTATGGCACCGTTTCAGACGGCGGTCACTATTACGCCAGATAATAGGGATGGCCAGGAGGTGATTGAGGTGCAAATACTGCCGCAGGACGATAATTGGGGAGAGAACACCACGGCGATAACCGGGAACACATCGGAGCAGTCAGAGTCTACGGAAGATGTAAGCAATTGGCCTGGGGAGCCTGACACTGGCTTGAGTTTCATATGCCAGAGGTATTTTGGAACGATCTTAACTTATATAATATCAATCGCCGCGTTTCTGAGCCCCATAGCAATGGTGGTGTTGCCGAAAATTGGTTTCTTTCCAGCATTGTCGAACAATGTTGGGATACAGAACAACGGGAAGCTTCTGCTCTGCGGCGCCGAATGCAAAGGATTGCTCGTTTCGTTAGCGTTTAAATTGGTTATTTTGGCTGCTGGCGCTTGGGCCGTCTTCCTCAGGAAGCCGAACGCTACGTTGCCTGGAGTGTTCTTGTTTAGAGCCACGGTTCTAGCTTTAACTTTGATCTGCACATTCGCGAATTGGCTGTTCTACATCGTACAAGTGACTGAGAATGCGAGGGCTGCGATCACCCCGGAGGAATACGTGGATTACAAGGCTTTGGTAGCTTACGCTTCCAGTTTAACGGACACTTTATTATTCATACACTACTTATCCGTTGTTCTCATGGAGATCAGGCACCAGAAGCCGGCGTATTACATCAAGATAATCAGGAGTCCGGACGGAGCTTCACAAGCTTTTTCCATCGGACAGCTGAGTATACAGAGGGCGGCTGTTTGGGTTCTCGAGAAATATTACACTGAATTCCCGATTTACAATCCTTACTTGGAGAGGATTCCGGTTTCGAAGAGCTCGAGAAAGGCTTCCAGCAGTTTCAAGTTCTACGAGGTGGACGGGGTGAATAACAGCGGAATGCAACAATCTAATTCTAGAGCTATGTTAGCTGCGCACGCTAGAAGAAGGGATTCGAGCCACAACGAAAGGTTCTACGAAGAACACGAGTACGAGAGGAGGGTGAAGAAGCGCAGAGCTAGACTGATCACAGCCGCTGAAGAGGCTTTCACGCATATAAAAAGACTGCACAACGACCAAGTGCCTGCTATTCCAATGGATCCTCATGAGGCTGCGCAAGCCATATTCCCGTCGATGGCGAGGGCTTTGCAGAAGTATCTGAGAGTGACCAGACAACAGCCCAGGCATTCAGTTGATAGTATATTAACGCACTTAGCCAATTGCTTGAGTCACGATCTAACGCCGAGAGCGTTTCTGGAACCGTACTTGATCACTGACCCGGTTCTTCAGAACGATAAAGAGCAGAAGAACGTTCAAACTTGGGCGTTGATCTGTGAAGAGCTGCTGTCGCGACCGATCGGTGACAACGTTTGCTTCCAACTGAGACAGAACGACGTCTCGCTGCTCTGCACAATTAAGAAACTGCCGCACTTCAACATCACCGAGGAGGTGGTGGATCCGAAGAGCAATAAGTTCGTTCTAAGACTCAACTCTGAAACCTCAGTATGACCAATAGTCGTCTACGACAGATTGATTTGAAATTTGATTTTTTGAAGCATATCATACTTTCTCGCTCTAATTTAAGTACTTAATTCATTGTGATATAACGATTATTTTAATTGGATTTTCGGCCCGACGATGATGACGATGAACAAGGAGAAGGAAAACAGCAAACTGGTAACAAAATATATACAAACAAATAATACTCGTACTCGCTCAAATTTTATTTTTCTTATTTATTTATACTTAAGCTCTACTGTTACGCCAGATTTACATAAGATCTATATTTATTTTACGTAATGTATGTTACGAGAAGACAAAGCCTCAAGTGCAATTTTAATTTCCGTTTTAGTTTTTACTTATGATTTAAGCTATGGATTTAGTATTACTTTATTTTTTTTTAATTGTTTCACGAGGAGGAATCGTTGCAAAATGAAGGAAGAAGGGATATGACGACTTTTGCTATTTGGATGTGCAAAGTCAATCAACGTTTGGATCTGAAAATTAATATATATGTATCCCATGTAAAAAATATACAAGAAATATATTTGATATACTGCGATTTATTGATAAAATATTAAACAAATATAATGAAAAAACGATGTAATAAGTGTGGCTTGGCAAAATGTAATTTTTCTAAAATTAATTTAAAAAAAAGAAGAAGAGAACGGCAAGGTTTTAATGACAGTATTCTAAAATTTAAGCATTTACAAGGAATGTTTTCGATTGTCTTATTTATTTTATTTAATAAGTTTTTTTTTAATTATATTTATATATATACACACATAATACCGATTTTGTAAAATGTATTTATACGAAAATAAAGGTACTGACATTTTTTTTTTCTAAATTAACATTTTATTTCAAATTTATGAAGTTCTTTCTGAGACAAGAGATAAATTCCCTTAGATAAATAAACGAAACTCAATTGGATAAAATTGGGATCCGTCACATTTTCTGTATAAAAAACAGGTGCAACCTCATGAAGGTAAATGCGTACGGTCTTGCATCAATTCAGAGGCTGTGTTTTGCGCTTGAATTGATACCTGGTTATCATCTTCGAGAGAAGATGATATACCTTTAGCACCTGGACATGCGGCCACGTGGAAGCCGTTGCTTTCATTCACAGCAAATGAGAGCAAACGCGCGACCGCACACCCGGGAGGAATGAAAAAGAAAATAGGGAAAGTATAGGATAGAAGGAAATGCTATGATCTAGGTACCTGAAA